GACATTGGTCTTGGCACTAAGACTTGTCTTCAGGAAAAAAAAAAATTTAATTGGAGGGGGTGATCCATCAGCCCTTTAGCATACTTGATTTTATATTCATTTATCAATAGGGAGCTGTCTCTTAAAGAAGGGAACTCGAGCTGGGGAGTGTTGAACAGGGTATGAGAAAGGGCGGCATAACTGAAGACTGAATATAAGCAAGCACTTACCTGGAAGAGCCAGATAAGGTGGGTCATGAATGCACTTTTGACATATTTTACAATGAAATTCTGGCTTCAATAGTAGAAGTTCTGAGGGGGCCTCCCTGAGAGGTAAATTAAATAAATCAATCATTTCCTACCTCCACCACATAAAGTGGCAGGGTTAAAGGTGCTCAGTGGCTAGCCTGCTGGGAGGAAGGTGTCTGAGACCAGCTGCGGGGCGATGAGTCCCCAGTGAGAGGCCATAGGACAGCCGGGATGATCGTCTTTGGGTTGGGCTCACCTGCAACAAAGGCCTTGAATCCCAGTTCAAGGTTACCCTTGAACCCCAGTGGATGCCTGGGAGTCAGCCTAAGCTAAATCTTTCCCCTAGAGTCTCCCCACTTCGTGTTCCCTCTGGCTTAGCCCCCCTGGGAAGAATAGTATCTATCTTACAGGGCTGTTGTGAGGATTAAATGAGATAGTACATGTAATGTCACTGGTATAGTTCGTAGTATAAAGGAAGCATTTACTGAAATAAATACATTTCATACATTACCAGATATAGAATCAATGTCATATTGTAGTGTATTGTTACAGATTGGGCCCTTGTGGACCTAGGAGATGCTGCCTGCTATGTGCTGCTTGGCCTTGGGTGAATCCAGCCGAGCGCTGGACAGTGGTTTCAGGGATGCCAGTTGGCTTGTCCTCCTCCTCCGGCCTGTTTCTATTTGGGGATTCAACCTTCTTGGCTCTCTTGCCTTGCTCTCTTGTCTAATAGCCTGGGACGTGCCTCCTTCCGTCTTCCTGTCCATCAGTGAACCACAAGACCTGACTCTGATCCCTCAGGGAAGTGTACAGAGTGTTTTGACCGTTGGTGATGTGAGGGGAGGTGTTAATGAGTTTCCTATACAGCAACATTATTTATTTTCTTGGCAGTGAGGCAGGTAATGTTTCCATCAACTTTGGACCATATCAAGTTCATGACTGTACAAAGTCTGATGGGTGAGAAATAGTATGATGTCCAGTGCCTCTTGTTCCTGAAAAATTAGTTTGGTTACCTAAGGCCAGTTCCTGGAGGGAGAGGATAAGGGTTCTCTTCCTGAAACCATGTAATAATGACTCTGTAATTAAATAATGGTAGCAAAAACTGTAGGAAACATTGAGCCAACTACATTCAGGGGAGTTTTGGCCCCACGATATTAGAAAATGCTCTGAGGTCAGGAAGCCTGGGCTGTGTGGTTTCTCTTCCATGTGGACATGTTCACCCAATAGATCCACGAAGTGCTGCTCACACTTGTATCTGTGGCTAAGTCCCTGCCAGTCACTTCTGGGGACGTCATGGAATAATCTATTTTACATGTATGTAAACCAGCAGTTTTACTAGTGGGAAATTTTAATTACATGTGTACAGATGTCATGCCTCAATTTTATGCATAAAATGTTTTAAGGATGTGACATGTACAGTGTTGGGTTTTATTCCCCTCCTTTTTGTTCCTCTGCTTACCTCTTTTCCTGGAATCTGGCCTCAAGGCACAGGTGGACACACATACCCTCTTAGCCTAAAAACACGTAAGAAGAAGTCTTGGGGGCTGGGCATGGTGGCCCACACCTGTAATCCCAGCAATTTGGGAGGCCGTGGTGGGTGGATCACTTAAGGTCAGGAGTTCGAGACCAGCCTGACCAACATGGAGAAACCCCATCTCTTTAAAAAAAAAAAAAAAAAAAAAGGCTTGGTAGTGGAAGTTAATCTCAGGGAATAGAGTTTGTCATTGAGGTCACTTCATTTTCTGCACTTCAGAAACTGAATCTGGAGAGAGATGAAACAGAATGCCCGATCCATCTATACCAAGGCACGTAGGGCAGTGTGTGGTGGCTCGTGGCTGTAATCCCAGGATGTTGGGAGGCAGAGGCTGATGGATGACTTGAGGTCAAAAGTTTGAGACCAGCCTGGCCAACATGGTGAAACTCATCTCTACTAAAAATTTAAAAAAATGAGCTGGGGTGGTGGCGGGTGCCTGTATTTCTGACTACTTGCAGGGGCTGAGGCATGAGAATTGCTTGAACCCAGGAGGCAGATATTGCAGTGAGCCGAGATGGTACCATTGCACTTGAGCCTGGGTGACAGAGCAAGACTCTGGCTCCAAAAAACAAAAAAAAACAAGGGCAAGGATGGAGAGAAGGGAAGAGAAACGTCTTTTCCAAGGGTTGGCCTCAGGGCAAACTTAGAGCCAGGGTATAATGACGCCAATTGTACGGAATGAGCTCAGAAGTCAGTTTGACCCCATTGAGAAGAAACTCCCAAATGTCACCCACTAGGAGGATTTTCTGTTCATTGAAAGATACTGTCTGGACTTGGAGTAAATCATGGTTTGAATATTTTTTTGGAGCTGATGTTGGAGCCTGATGGGTTAAGAGTAAGAATTTTTTGTTCTCTCATCCATGATGAAGTACTCACTGTAGGAATTTTGTACATTCTGAGTTTTTCTATTTAAATTGACCTATGTCCAATCCACGAGCTAGCTCATAAGAGCAACGTTCTGAGGTTACGTGTTCTGGGGTGCCAGGTACTGTTAAGTGCTTGACATAGTTTATGGTGTTGATTACCGTTAGACGGGTGTGAGGCCTGAGGCTCAGCGACGATCCTGGAGTCACATGGCTATTAAGAGGCGGGATCCAAACCTACTTCACCATCTCTGCAAGAGTGGATGCAGCAGGATTGTAGTGAAAAGGGAAGAAAATTTACCCGTTAAGTTTGTGTGTGCACAAATTGGAATATGACTACCCACTCTTTTTTTTTTAAACAGAGACAGGGACTTGCTCTGTTACACAGGCTGGAGGGCAGCAACACAATCACAGCTCACTGCAACCCCAAACCCCTGGACTCCAGCGATCCTCCTGCCTCAGCCTCCCTGAGCCTTGACATTACAGGTGTGAACTACCATCACCAGGATCATCTTTTCAACTAAACTTGGAATTTTAGAAAAGTTACAGATGCATAAAATTACTGTGAAGGTAGTAGAGAGTACCTATATTCCCCATATCTAGTTTCCCCTGTTAAAATGGTATATTAAAAATGTGTCACAATGAATACAGCAACATTGATGCATTATTAACTGAAGCCTGTAGTTTATTCAGTGTCCTTGGTATTTCCCCTTACGCTCTCCTCCTGGTCCAGGAACGCATTCAGGACATCACACTTCATTTAGTTGTCATGTCTTTTTAGGCCCTTTGTGTCTGAGACAGTTTCTCAAGCTTGCCTTGTTCGTAATGACCTTGACTTTTTGAAGATTACTGATCTTTTTTTTTTTTTTTTTTTTTGAGATGGAGCTTTGCTATTGTCTCCCAGGCTGGAGTGCAGTGGCGCAATCTGGGCTTACTGCGACCTCTGCCTCTTGGGTTCTGGTGATTGTCCTGCGTCAGCTTTCTGAGTAGCTGGGATTACAGGCACATTCCAGCACGCCCGGCTAATTTGTGTACTTTTAGTAGAGTTGGGGTTTCACCATGTTGGTCAGGGTGGTCTGGATCTCCTGGCCTCGTGATCCACCTGGCTTGGCCTCCCAAAGTGCTGGGATTACAGCCCGTGAGCCACTGCCCCTGGCCACTACTGATCTGTTTTGTAGAATTTTTCTTAATTGGGAATTGTCTGACATTGATCTCATGATTAGCTTAGGGTAATACATTTTTTGAAGGAAGACCACAGAGGTAAAATGCCCTTTTCATCCTCTTTTTATCAAGAGTCATCCTCCTGACAGGGCCTGTCACTACTGAAGTTAATGATGGTCAGCTGGCCGAGGCCATGCTCGTCAGGTGTCTCCACTGCAAGGGAATCCTGCCCTCTTCCATGCTGTACTTTTGGAAAAAGGCCACTGCGCAGCCCACACTTGGGGGGTTCCAGTCTACCTCTTTGGGGGTGAAGTAGCTACACAAAGTATTTGGAATTCTGAGCAAGAGACGTCTTTTTTTCTCAGTTATTCTGTCGCTACGGACTTGGGATGCTTTGGGTATTTATGTTATACCTTGGATTATAATCCTATACCGCTTTTTGTGCTGCTGCTCAGGTTGTTCCAACTTTGGCCATTGGGGGCTCTTTAAGTTGGCTCCTGTGTCTCTTTGACACATCAATTCAGGGCTATATGTGCATGAGAGAGAGAGAGCGAGAGAGAGCGTGCGCGTGAGATGCAATGAGAACGTCCTTCCTTCCGTGACACTGCAAGGTGTCCAGGCTTATCTTGTATGTTTCTTATCCTAGTCACAGAATCTGCCATTTCTCCAAAAGAAATGGAGAATTGGAGAGTGGTAATAGAAACCAAGTTCTGGGCGCTAGGTATGCTTGTTGCTACTGGCATGCCAATCATCGCTTTCAGGTCCTCTCCCCTAAAGGAACAAGGAAATATATGTATGTGTACTAATCTGTGAATATATGCATATCTATAAATGTTTGTATGCCATCCATGTCTACATTAAGCAAAACATGAGCTCATACTGGTAACTCCAACTCTAATCCATCGCTAGATGGATCTTTCTAGCAGCTTGTTATCATAAATTCCGACTCCAATAGTAATAAACCTGGTTCTTTTTTTTTTTTTTTTTTGAGACGGAGTTTCGTTCTTGTTACCCAGGCTGGAGTGCAATGGCGCAATCTCGGCTCACCGCAACCTCCGCCTCCTGGGTTCAGGCAATTCTCCTGCCTCAGCCTCCTGAGTAGCTGGGATTACAGGCACGCGCCACCATGCCCAGCTGATTTTTTGTAGTTTTAGTAGAGACGGGGTTTCACCATGTTGACCAGGATGGTCTCGATCTCTTGACCTCGTGATCCACCCGCCTCGGCCTCCCAAAGTGCTGGGATTACAGGCGTGAGCCACCGCGCCCGGCCTAAACCTGGTTCTTATCACCTGTTTGCTCACAATTAAATACACGTGTATAGCAGTATCAGCACTGCTGCACTCACCCCCACGGGAAACAGTGTTAACAGCTAGCCTACAGTCGTGCGTGCAGTCCGTTTCCCCTAGTGTTTCAGATTCCAGCTGCTTCCAGGCTTACTTAGAGCACTGTCATTTGCCCCACCCTCTTCAGTAAGGTTGTTTCACATATTTGTAATACAATTCGGTTTTTTTGGTTGGTGGGGGGTGGTGGTGTCACATTGTGCATTCCATTCTGGGATCCCTTGACGTCCTAAATAATTTTTTTCTAATTTGCATAGCATTTATAGTATCATACAGAATAACCCCCCAAATCCACTATCTTTATCTCATCAACCTTGTTCCTCCAGCTCCTGGGAACCACTGATCAATATGCCAGCTTTGCTTTTCTAACATGTCATATAATCAGAATATGGTTACTGCACGTAGCTTTTCACACTGGCTTCATTGATTTAACAATATGCATTTAAGATTCATCTTTTTTTTTTTTTTTTTTTTGAGATGGAGTCTCACTCTGTTGCCCAAGCTGGAGTGCAGTGGTGTGATCTTTGCTCAGGGCAATGTTAGGATTCCAGGTTCAGATTACCCTGCCTCAGCCTTCCAAGTAGCTGGGATTACAGTCATGTACCACCACACCAGGCTAATTTTTAAAATTTTTAGTAGACGTGGGATTTCACCATGTTGCCCAGGCTGCTCTCCAACTCCTGACCTCAACTGATCCTCCCACCTTGGTCCCCCAAAGTGCTGGGATTACAGGTGTGAGCCACCATGTCTGCCCATCTGTCGTTTAGTGGTTTGGTATCTTATTTTTTAATCACTAGATGATATTTCATTGCATAAATGTGACAGTTTGTTTTTCCATTCACCTTTTAAAGGACATGTTGGCTGCTTTGAGTTTTTGGTGATTATGAATAAAGCTGTTATTAACATTACTGTGCAAATTTTTCTGGGGATAAAAGTTTCAGCTCATTTGGGCAAATACCTAGGAATGGCACAATTGCTGGGTCATATGATGAAAGGGTTTTTAATTTTGTAAGAAACTGTCAAACTGTCTTCCATAGTGGCTATCTCATTTCATATTTCCAGTGGCAATGAATGGGAGCTTCTGTTATTCCACATCCTTGCCAGAAGTTGGTATGGTCAGATTTTTTGTCACCCAGGCTAGAGTGCAGTGGTACGATTGTGGCTCATTGCAACCTCTGCCTCCCAGGTTCAAGCAATTCTCCTTCAGTCTCCCGAGTAGCTGGGATTACAGGCACACACCACCAAGCCCAGTTACTTTTGTGTTTTTAGTAGAAATGGGGTTGTTCATGTTGGCCATGCTGGTTTCAAACTCCTGACCTCAGGTGATCTACCTGCCTTGGCTTCCCAAAGTGCAGGGATTACAGGCGTGAGCCACCACACCTGGCCCCAGCAGTGTCTCATTACTGTTTTCATTTTCAATTCTCTAATGATAAATGACATTGAACGCCATTTGATACTTCCGTGCCATGTACATCTTCTTTTGTGAGGTGTTGTTTCAGATATATTGACCCTTTTTTATTCTGTTGTTTTTCAATTGTTGAGTGTTAAGAATTTTTTCAGATTTTGAATAAGAGCCCTTGGTCAGTTACGCATTCTGCAAATACTTTGTTCCAGCCTGCGGCTCGTCTTGTCATTCTCTTAACAGTGTCTTTGACAGAGCAGAAGTTTTAAATTTTAATAAAGGCCAACTTACCAGTTTTTTTCTTTGATGGACAGTGCTATTGGTATTGTATTGTAACACTCAACCCCAGACCCAAGGTCACGCAGATTTTCTCCTAGGTTGTCTTCAAGAAGTTTTTATGGTTTTGCCCTTTGTGTTTAGGCCTATGATTCATTCTGAATTGACTTTTTTTCTTTTTTTGAGACAGGGTCTCTTACCCCGTCACCCAGGCTGCAGTGCAGTGGTGCAGTCTTGGCTTACTGCAACCTCTCCCTCTCTGGTTCAAGCAATTCTCCTGTCTTAGTCTCCCAAGTAGCTGGGATTACAGGCGTGAGCCACCATGCCCAGCTAATTTTTGTATTTTTCGGTAGAGACAGGGTGTTGGCCAGGTTAGTATCAAACTCCTGACCTCAAGCAATCTGCCTGCCTTGCCTTCCCAAGATGCTGGGATTACAGGCATGAGCCACTGCACCTGGCCCCCTCTGAATTAATTTTTAGGTAAGGTATAAGGCCTTTCTCTAGGCTACTCTTTCTGCATATTGACATCTAATTGTTCCAGCCTCATTTGTTGAAAAGCCAGCATGAGACTCTTTATTAGCAAAACATTTCAGCCTAGTTTTTGGAATCAGAGTGTGGTGGAGGCAAGCATTGAGAACTGTAGCACCAATTGATGAAGTTTTTGAATAATTTCCGTGTATTTTCTTTACCCATTTTCCTGCCAGATCAGATGTTGCCTGCTGGCTACTAAAGAGAGTTATGAATCCATTGTTATTCCAGTAGCCCAGGAGAAGAACTGCTGTGGCAGGGAGGGGGTATAGACAGCAAAGTCCCTTCAGGAGGGGAATTTGTCGAGGAAGGGGCTAAAATGGGGAGACTCTGCTTTAGCCTTGATGATAGAAAACTCTTAATGCATGAGAAAATCTTAAAAGACTTTTAAGAGTAAATTCACCTTGTAGGAAGAACAGAATCTTGGAATAGCGCGTGCGCATACACACACCCTCCCTCCCTCCGAAGTCCTGGCATTTCCTAAGAGCACCATCAGCACCCCTCACCCAAACCCTTAGGGATCCAGGTAGGAATTCCCTTGTGATGCGGTGGGAGAGGGAGGTGTGCTGATTTTTATAACTGCGATGTATATTGCAACATTAAATAGGATACTATATGAAACCGTGTACATATTTCATAATTCTATTTCATTCTGAGACTGTAAAAATCACTTTTTAAAATGAAGATGAATCGAAAATAAAGAAGAGGGCCATCTTGTGGGGATATCTGCGACGACCGCAACCATCAGATATTCGCCGTCCATCAACCTCCCGGAACCCTTAGGAATGTGTACACATTTCTATGCCGTATATCAGATGAATACCTTAGGGCAGCTAATCAAGGACCTTTCTCCGGCTTTTTTACGTACGATGAATAATTTTATGGGCTTTCATTTTCATAAATGACCAAAAGCTACTTCGTAATCTATAAAATCAGTCAGGGAGATGTGCTAAAATTGACATTTATAATAAAAATGCACATTATTTCTTTCCATGCTCTATTTCGTATAAGACTTTTGAATGGCAAGTCCATGGTACATAAACAAACATGGTATGAGAATTCCAGGTATTTCCAGAGAGGATGTTTTATATTATGTTGTATTGAGTTTGGTTATTCAAATGTGGCCTAGTCTTATCTTAAAGAATATGGTAATCATTTATTTATCATTATGAGGAAAGAGACAGGATGGACCAATCAGTAGAAGGACAGAAGTTTTCGGAGAACTTTAGGGCGTTTGAGGCAAATTGGGAACTTCAGCCTGGCCTGAAGAATTGGATGCCAGAAAGCTCTTGGTCAAGATGAAGCCACACGGGATGGGCCATGCTAACTCCAGCTGAGTCTCCTTCTCAACCTAGGTTTGCTGCTTTCTACCATGAGACCTTGGGCAGGTCCCTATCCCTAATTATGCCTTGTTTGTTTTCTTCTTTTCTCTCTCTCTCTTTTTTTTTTTTTTACAGAGCTCACTCAGTTTGGAGTACAGTGCCTCAATCTCAGCTCACTGCAACCTCTACCTCCTGGGTCCAGGCAATTCTCCTGCCTCAGCCTCCTGATAGCTGAGATTACAGGTGCCTGCCACCATACCCAGCTAATTTTTGTATTTTTAATAGAGTTGGGGTTTTACCATGTTGGTCAGGCTGGTCTTGAACTTCTGGCCTCAAGTGGTCTGCCCACCTTGGCCTCCCAAAGTGCTGAAATTACAGGCATGAGGCACTGTGCCCAGCCTCTTTGTTTTCTTTTTAATTTGTAAAATGAGAAGTTTGAAATCTGACATTCCCAGAGTCCCTTCAAGACCTGAAACTTGAGATATCAAAGAGAAGCCTTCATGTCTCAATTCTTTTAAACCCAGGTTTCTGGTCAAAGGCAGGAATTTTCACAAACATCCTTAACTTTAGTGAGGCTTCTAAGTAGATTATTTTGAAGCCATACAAGTGATATATATTTTACATAGTTGACAAGTTATGGAAATACTTGAATATAATAACTCCCTTTAATATTTCCCCCGCACTTTGAATTCCCTGTAATTGCCAACAATCAGAGAAAAGCCATGCTCAATTCGGTCCAAGAACTGAGGCCTCTGGGACCTTTGCTCCACTGGGGATATATGTTTTCCTTGCAGATGCGTGCATTCAACAGGACAGCAGGCAGCGATGGGTGGCATTACCCACCCAGCCTGCAGCTGCTACATATCATGGTGTTAGCATCTGGTAGTGGTGTTGATGCCAGGGAAAAAGGTGTCCCTCCCATGACTGTTAATGACACCTAAGGAGAGGTGCCACCTCATCAGGAAGACTTTCTCTGTTCCCAAATCACTAAGGAGCATTGCCATGCATTTGTGCATAATTTTTGTGTATTTTAAGAGTTGTATATTTAAGAGCTCTCCTGAATTGCTGTTTGCTTGAGTGAATGCATTTTAAGGTGTTTCTGGAGAATAGGAGGGAATGCAAAATGCAACAAGACAGCAAAATTTCAATCCTGAATTGCAACTTGTGTCAAAATTGTGCTACTGAGGGTTTGTCAAATGTGCCTTGTAAAAAATGTGACTCTAAAGTTGTGTTGAGGACATTTGACCACAAGAGGACGCTCCAACAAAGCACCTCGCAGCTCAAAAATCTACATCTCCTTTCTCAAACATTTACATGCAATTTCTGGCTGGTCTTAGGATATAAAGCTAAATGTCACAGATACTGTTTCAAACTTTAAAAAAAGTCTTTCTTTTTTTTTTTTTTTTTTTTAATAGACGAAGGTTGGGAGCTATAGCAGTGAACCCTGAGCTCAAGTTAAACTGCTGTGATTAGCTGGAGGTGCTTTGTAATTTCTCCATCAGTTTCCAAAAAAGGAACAAGTTAAGAAGCTTTTCTTCCTTTAACGACCAAGCAAAACAACACAAACTCAAAACACTTTAAGAACATTTCGATTTCCAAACTAGGGCTTTTATGAATCATTTTCCTAAGAGTTCTAAGTCCAGAAATGTAATTAAAAACCCCGTTTTGCAATCTAGACGCACCATAGGAGAAAATGCTCTATTACCCCTTCTAGGATGCAGATGTTTGGAAAAGCAAGGGGGCAGGAAGGTATGTGATGGTCTCCAAGTAAATTTAAGGCCTCGGCTGCATTTACCTAGTAGTCAGTGAAAACTCAAGGGCATAATTGCCAACAATGAACACCCTTGACGTTTAACCAATCTTTACTGATAATAAAATAATTAGAATAATTTATGTGTGTCTGTGCTTTTATTAACATGGCTTTGCTTAAAGGAGATTCAGCTGGTTATTCACGGATAAGAGGGTCTCCCCTCCCACCTTCTGAGATGACATGTTTATACCCAGGCAGCACTTCTAAATTTTTAATAGAGAGGAAGAGATTCCATTTAATTAGGTAGAGTGACTTGTTTATATGCAGGTTGTACATTTACAAGTTCTAATGAAGAACGGAAAATACCCATTGAGCAGCGTTTGAAGTTTAGCTTGTTTAAAGGTAATTGTAAACCCAGCTCAACAGAAACAGCATCGCAGTCAATCAAGTGATTTGAGCGTAGAGTAGAGGGAGTTAAATCCAGGTTAAATAATTGCACAAATCGCATGTCGATCAATGTTCAAAGGATTTTTTTTTCTCTCAAATCAAAGCTCTTCCATTTTACATTTGATTGGAATGCTGACACTGGGTTATAGGAAAAAATGTTAAGGCTGTAACAAGATTTTTTTTTTACTTAAAAAATCCCCACCCTTTATATAAAAGCCTTCTTCTTTTTTCTTTTTCTTTTATATATTCTATATAGCTTATTTTGCTTGTGAATTAGGTAACATAAACATGTCACTGTCACAAAAGCATATTTTCTACGTTCATAAATCCTTTCTGGAAATGAGAAACCATTTTTTTTCTTAAACTGTGACCTAAGGTAAAAATTACAAATATTTGTGTGCCTTGGATGATATGGCAAAAAGGCCACCTAAACTAATGAGGTTTCTTGAATTGGTGTACAGAAATGAATCACAAAGCTTAAGAAGTTGAAGAGATTTCTCATGATTTTTAAAGCAACATTAATGATCGTATGGAATGAGAAATCGAGCTTTGTGTTATTACTACAGGATTAGTTTTTAGTTCCTGAAAGCTGGTCTATTTATAGGTATATAGGACGGAATTAACTCTGAAAAGGTTAATTTAAAAAAAATGTTCTGTAGAAGGCCTATTTCCTATCACCTTTTATAAGTTTCCCTTTGAATTGTGGTTGCAATATGCATTTGGAGTGAGTCCAGGAAGCTCGAATAATAATGTAATCCCCGGTGGAGCCGCTCTTAGGAGAAGGAGGAGGATAAAGGAAATGCTACATACAGATTCCTGACAATATATTCATCTTGATATTAGCACAGCTGATGGATTGCAGCAAGACTACTTCTAGAGCTTCCCTGGGCCATCTTCGGGGCCGTTATCACTTCAGTACGAAAAACAAAACCCCCACCATACAAAAGAAATAAAGCGTCTTTAATGGAAAAGTAGTACCTTAAAAATATTTGTTAAAAGAAAAATATTTGTTTGGCTGCAAGGAGAAGAGAGAGTAGGGAATAACAGACCAAAGGAGAGAGAAAAAGAAACCACTGTCCTTTGCTGAGCTCGCTGGCCCCATGTAAGGCTCTCAAACATTTTAACAGTTGCACGTCCATTTTCTTGTTCTTCTGTGTGCTTCTCTTATTTTCATAAGAAAACTCTGTTCCTCTTGTGCAGAGCCAGTGTAATGTCGCTGAAATCTTGGATGATGTGGTTTTAAGATCAAATGAGACTTAATAAGGTGGGATTTGTTTTCTTACTGACCTTCTTATCGCTTGGGTCCCCCTGACAAGCTACAGAGTGATGGGGAGGAATTAGGGTAGCAGCTCTTGAGAGAAACACATCCTGGCTGGGCCTCCACCTTGAAATAGGAGTGCAATAGACAGCAAACGGCTCCAAATGAGGGGGCACATAAGGGCTTGCAGAATGTAAGGGGATTCTTCCATTGAAGAAAGGAAGGGGGGCACCCAGCAGGATGAACACTAAACGTAGAAGACACTGCTGGTGGATTTATTTTTATTTTAGGTCAGTGTCCTTGATTGGAGCTGGAGTTGATCAGAAAGACTAGTTGTAGGCTAATTTAAGAAACAAAACCTCCTAACTTTGTGGAGGCTGCTGGAGAGCAGGGCAGGGCATCATCCATATAACAGAAAGGAAAGGAGTTTGGTCCTTTTTTTAAAAAAGGTTCCTTAGGAGTCAAAACACACTGAATTTAAAGGAAATTAAAGTGAGAAAGAGTTTTGTGAACAAATTAAACACTCTTCCATTACAAGGAAAGGAGAAAAATGTTTGAAGGTGGGGAGAATGCATTGTTACTAAAAATAAATAATTCCGTCCGGTCTTGAAAAAATAGAGAATTGAATTTAATAATCACTCATGGTCTTACTTGATAACCTGATTGAACTAGGGAGTTTTACAGTGTGTTTTCTATCAGGGTGGATGATACACGTTTCATGTTCGTACGGAGCCAGCACAGCGGTGTTTTCATACCATTGGTAAACCAGAAAAGATGCCTGTAGGTTCCCCATTATGTCAGGCGGCCACTCGAGTCAGCTGAGGCGCTCAGGATGATGATGTGCTTCTGCCCACCTTTTAGTGTTGCAGAAAAGCATGCGGGGGAACCGAACAGAAGGGAGTAGCCAGGACAAGTAACATGCTGCCGGGGACTCTGAAACTCCTGTGCCGAGGGCTGACTTCTGCAGGCCCTTTGGCAAGGTATTTGCAGATGCAATGTTTCTGTCAATTCTCCTGCCTTATTTCACTCTTTGTTCCTTTAATGGGTGATGAGCCTTAGGTTCTTGTTAAATCTATTCCTTTTGGGAAGAGAAAATGACGTACCTCGTTAAAAACCATGTACTACCAGGAGAAACATCGGTTGGAGCAGTGTTCTGTTTCAGGGGTGTTTTTTTCCTCGTGATGTGGCTGCTTGAATGTCGGCTGTTTGGCCTCACACTTCGTTTGCTCATTGTGGACCTGCGTGCTGTCCTGTGGGATGAAGGGAAGAAGGTATTCACAATTGTCCCAGTGAAAAGAAATTGAGGATGAACCTAGTTATATTTGCACAAGGGACAACTTCTTTCGCTGTTGGAGATCAGAAGGGACTTAGGCTGGGCGCAGTGGCTCATGCCTGTAATCCCAGCACTTTGGGAGGCTGAAGCGGACGGATCACCTGAGGCCTGGAGTTCAAGATGAGCCTGACCAACATGGCGAAACACCATCTCT